GGTTGGGTCCTGTAGGAGAGAATACAGTGACAAGTGATAAATTTCAGGTATGGGAGGGGAAAATAATTGTATCACATGTGACACCTGTAGTTGGTTCATATGTATTATGATTGACATATATGTGTATATTAGCTTTCCTTGCTGCTTTAAAAAATTGCCATGAATTTAGTGACTTAAAATAAACTCATCATCCTCTACTACTGCAGGACCAAGCTCCAAAATGGGTCTTTAGCTGCTGAAAATCAAGTTGTCAGCAGCGTGGGTTTCTTCTGGAGGCTGTGAAGGCCGACCAGTTCCGTGCTCCTCCCAGCTCATAGGTTGCTTACATTCTGTCTTAGTGGCCTCTTCCTTCTTTGTCTTCCAAATCAGTGGTGCAGCATCTTCAGCCCCCACCCTGATTTCCATGGTCATATCTTCTTTTCCCTGATCCTGACCTTTCAGGGTCACAAGAACCCTTGTGATTTTATTGGATAAAATACTACTTGGATATCCCACAATATGCTTGCCATTTCAGCACCCTGAAACTTAAGCACATCTGCACAGATGCTTTGGCCTTGTAAAATAACAGTCAAAGGCTCCAGGACTAGACTGTGAACACCTATGGGAGGCTGTCATTTCTGCCTGCCACTAAATAGAGCAGCAGTTAGCCTGGGCACATCATTTCCTAGGTGCTTTCTAAGGGTGCTGGAGCAGTTGAAGTGTTGATTGATTGGTTTTGTGAGCCAAGAACAGCCTATGATGCAGTACCAGGAGGCTGTGCACCAGAGGAACTTGCAGGAGTGCAGATAAGAACCGGTACCTGAGATGTGTCTCTTGTTTCTGAGCTCCATGACCAGGCTTGGACAGTCACAGGACTTCATGGAATGTGAAATTAGAGTGAGCATTTCACATACCCATCCACAGAAAGTGCTTGCTAGTTGAATTGTGGGGACAAATGACTGCTGTTCTCCAGTGTAACAGGCAATGCAATCAGGGCTACACTAAGATAGGCAGCCACTCCGGGAGCAGGACCTGGGTGCGGAGAAGAGATTTATGAGGGATGTCAGGAGAAAAAAAGGAGACTGTTGGACTTGAGGAGTACCTGGAAGTGAGGACATGTGCTGAGTAGAACCATGATGCTTGAGGGGTTTGGAAGATAGGGAGGGAAGTGGCGGGGAAGGTAGGGAGGCAGAGGCCACAGGGAACGTGGTCAGGTGGATCACTCACTGGGGGCTAGGAGCAGGGGAGTGGGCATACATGTGCATGCCTGGAGTTCAGTTTGATAGCCAAAGCTGCTTAAGAGCTGGACCTGGCTTAGGACAGGCTGAACTAATGAGCGGAAGTGGATGGATGCTGTGTGCAAGCTTCACTACCTGTGGCCAGCTCACTGGGCTCCCTTGACAGTTCCAGAGACTTTGGAGGGATTGACGTCTGCGTGTGCATCTCACTATCTTTATCTCCTCTCCACAATGTGTTAGCCGTTGGAAGTGCCCAGTAAATAAGTTAGATAGAAATATTATAAACAATCAAGACAGGCTAGGTCCTCAAATGAGCCAGTGTAGAAGGCCAGATACCTTGCAACTGTGGGGGAGACAAACACCTCCTTGGGCCAGACTTCAAGACAAAAGATAAATCAAATGCACCCATATATTTCTCAAGGATAAGCATCAGGAGTTGATATTCTAAATAGGTCTCTATCTTGCTGAGAAAGCCAGGAGTCACCATGCCAACCCTAAGAGTCACTCGTTTTTAAGCATGCCCACTTGCTACATGATTCACTTCCCCATTTGTTCCTTGTTTTAATCAGTTTTACCTTAGCAACTGATCTCATTGGTTGGCCATAGTTCTGTCCCACCTCATGCCTGCTTGTGAGTTCCCATGTCTTCCTCACTTTAGATGAGCTTCACTTTGTGATTTTACAAAAACCCCTAGAGAAGACAGAGTCTTTGGCAACCCACTTGGGACCCTTTCGGTCTCTCTGTCACACAGCTTTCTTTCTCTCAATAAATGTATTCTGCTGTTAACCTCCATTGTTCTAACCTCCATTCTTTGATTTTAGAGAAGATGAACTTGTATTAGACATCCAGTAGGTTGGGAGTTTCATTGCCCTACACCGTAAATACCTGTTCAAAACATGCTGGTATATACATATTAATGAAACAGGTAGCAAAAGCTACAGATAGAAGGGCAATAGGAGTACCAGAAAAGCTGACCAAATTGTTTTTTTTGTCTTTTTCATTTTAATCGGTACCAGGGATCGAACTCATGATCGCACACTTGCAAGGCAGGCGCTTACGCCACTGAGCTAAATCCCTAGCCCCAAGCTGACCAAATTCTACAAGTAAGGTGATTGGCTATCAGAATTGCTGTGTATCTTGGAAAATGCTATGAAATGGAATGTATTTCCTTTTTGAAAAAGGTTTCCTCTACATGGCTTCATGTGGTCCTCAAACTCCTTTCCCAGATGAAAGCTGTGCACATTCTGTTAAGAAGAAACCAAATATTTGAGCAGACTCACATCCCGTAAAGTAGAGTGGTTTTCCTTTGATCACCAACTGGAGGCACCCAGCTTGGGCTCTAGATTACATCTTTCCCCTTCCATGGTGCTGTTCTATTTTCCTGTTCAGTAATCCTTCTCCTGTTAGACATCTGGTATGTAGCCCCTTATTCTTCACACGTTGGTGTTCAGGGGCTACTTTGAGGCGTTCCATGAACCATACATTTGTCTGCAGCTAGCTCTTTAACTTTAGTGACATATTTCTGTTTTGCCAACTAAAGGGCCAGGATTTGATTTGAAGTTGAGTTACTCTTCTCAGAAACGATGAGCACCATGTTACTTTATTCTGTAAGGAGGGACAGGAGGTGTTTTGTTCACCCCCATAACTAGCATAATGTTGGGCTGATTGTAGAGGGGGAGTGAGTTTCTGTCCTAAAGGGAGCACAAAAGTGTAGTTTAGCTTTGGTTTCAGATGTTCTCAGAGGGTTGTGGGGATTGCACTGTCTTCTTCCTGTCTTCTGCTTGTTTTTAATCAGATCTCTGCATATATATATATTTGCTTTGTTTGTTTGTTTTTTAGACACAGGTTCTCACTATGTAGCCCAGGCTGGCCTCACACTTAGGGTAATCCTGCTTCATTTTGGGATTACACATGTGTGTCTGCACGCCTAACTGCTTTTGAGATTCTAATAAAATAAGAGTACTTTCCAAAGTTTCAATTCAGGTAAAGTGTTCTGGCATCTTACATATGAGTGAAAAAAGGTCGGAGGAGGAAACCAAAGAAGGAAGTTGAACTAGGAAAAAAGGGAGTCCCAACAGATCCGAGGCTAGGACTCCATGTTGGTTTAGGTTTTATATCTCTTTGTCTTGGTTACTTTTCTTTCATTGCTGAGACAAAATACATGACACCCAACATGAAGGAAGAGAAGGTTTATTTAGCTTACAGTTTTTGGAGATTTCAGTCCATATTCAGCTGGTTCCAAGGCACGGTGGTGTGCCTGAGGGGCAACCATTCATGGTGGCCACAAAGGAGAGCAAAAAGGACAAAAGAAGAAAGAAAACACCAAACCTTCTTTCTTCCCTTATTTGTATGCCAGATCCATCCCTGGGCAGGTGCAGCACTCAAACCACCAATCCCAGGGCTAGACAACACACCAATCACAAACACTAGATACAGCTGCCTCCATGATTGCATGTGGCTTGGTGGGAGCATCCGAACACAAACCATAGCACACTGCTAGTTATCGCTCACTGTAGAGTGTGTGTGTGGGGCGGGGGGTTTGGTGGTGTCCGTCCCCCTCCTGCACAGCTGTACAAGGCCCATGTATATCTGGCCTCAGGGATATGGTTTTAGTGGGCATGCCTGGTTTCAGGATAAGCAGCACTGAACATGCCTGTAATACATGGATGTGATGGGATTGTGAGTTGAAACCCTGGATCCCATGAGAAATATTCTCCACATTGTGTCTTAGAGTAACAACTGCCCATTAAATACCAAGCTGCCAGGGCTAGGGATTTAGCTCAGCGGCATAAGCACTGGCCTTGCAAGCAGGCGGTCGTGAGTTAGATCCCCGGTACCAATAAAAAGGAAAAAAAAAAAATACCAAGCTGCCAGTGTATGGTTTCCTCTGACATCCTTCTTCTTAACTTTAGCAGTTGTGGTTAGAATACTTTCCCATCATTTGGCACTTCAAAGTTAACGGTTTTAGAGAATTCTGCAATTAATACTGAATGGCACATTTGCAGATTATTAGAGAAACAGTTAAATTTGAGCCAGTAGGGCTATGTAGCTGGCTTCCCCTTGATGGATAAGCAATGGGTAGGAAAAGGTGGGTAGCAGGAGGCTTCCGTCCCTCCCTCTGTGGACGCTATGATTGGAAGGGGAAGCCTGGCCCATTCCTTACCCTTCCATTAGGGTGCAGATGGCTAATGACCACCTCACCAAGAGTTAGGAGTAGGACCTTTTAGAGTCTTTTTCTTTTATGACCCCACCCTGTGTATCCCAAGCATAGTATGGATGCAATGAAGGCTTCTCATTAAAAGTAATGGCTTATTTCCACACTCATTCCTGCTTTTGTAATGAGAAACTGGTTTCTTTGGACTTGAGGAATTGCCTATCTGTCCTGTCCTAATAGAGCTTTGGATCCGGCTGTCTGGTAGGCAACTTTTACAACCAATCAGAACTCAACACAGATCCAACTCAGAGGACTCCAGCTGGCTGCCCTGGTCTTGCTCCCAGTTTTACCTGCTGATGAATTATCTAGCCCCCAAACACAAAACAGCCTACTCCTGTTATCTTGTGGGCAGTGATCCCTGATCCCTGAGGCCGGGCAGTTGGGGATGTCTTGGGCTTGAGAGTAGGGGGAAGGGGGGAATGGTACGGGGGAAGGGGACAGATGATGCTCTAAGACTGGCCCCACCTTTGCCTCAGTAGCCAGCATTTCATGCATTTAGACTCCATGGGCTTTGTGCTGGGAGATTAAATTGGCTCCACTGTGCATCATGTTCTCTTGTTTTCCCACAGGGAGTAGGGCCAGCCAGCAGGAACAGCGGGCTGCACAACGTCACCTTCAGATACGACAGTAAGTAACGGGCCTGGCTGCAGAGAAGGGAACCCTCTCCATAATCTACAGCTTATTCAGTTGTGCTGAATCAAGGACAGGAAGGCAGGTCCTGGGGCTGAAGAATTTTCTGAATCTGTTCAGGTCTGTCCATAGATAAACAGCTCATTCTTGATGAAGCCACTGACTTCTTTGGGAACTTATTCGTCAAGTGTCTTTCATAGGTCAAGTGTTCAGAAAGTTAGGTATTAAAGACTTTCCTTGAGTTCTGAGAGATATCGCTGTGTCCTTAAGAACAAAAACACAAATACTTGGAGGACCTGCCAGGGGATGAAGGAACCACGCTGCCCAAATGCAGGATGCTTGGGAGATGTAGAAACTGGCAGACCAGGGCAGCTTGTGTCTGGTTTGAAAGGAGCAGTGACTTCTGATTCAAGGCTGTAGTCTTGAATTCCCACTGAACATGACCAGATTGGTTTGCAAGAATTGCTGCTGGAAAGTTGCCCGTTGTTCTGTGCATATGTGCAAATTTTTATTTTATTTCATTTTATTTTTTAGTAGTGGTACTTTGGTTCACAAACTTAATTTGTTTCAAGGTTTTGGGGAGGATGACCACATTAGCATTTGTGTGGCTGCAGTTCTTTGCCACCCCATCCTAAGTTTGTGAACAGAAGTGTCTGTGAACCAATGTATCACTGTACCAGCATTTATTTAAACACTTTCACACACACAGAGTGGGCCAACTTGCTCTTTGTTCAGATGTGTTTAGGAATCTTCAGTTTGCAGTCTCCGTCTTGGGCCCAGGTACTCAGCTGTGTGTGCAGGTGACTTTTTGTTGCTCAAAATAAAGATGATTGGGGCTAAGGGTAGTGCTGTGGTAGAGTTATGTGCCTAGCATGCAGGTGAGACTCTGGATTTGATCCCTAGCACTGGGAAAAACAACAACAAAATCAGCTTTCTTTTTTTTTTGTCTTTTTCATTTTTTATTGGTACCGGGGATCAAATCCACGACCGCCTGCTTGCAAGGCAGGTGCTTATGCCGCTGAGCTAAATCCCCAGCCCCACAAAATTAGCTTTCTAAATGAAGCAAGGCCTGTGTCTGCTCATCTTGGTACCTGATCTTCCTTCAGTACTCAGGCAAAGGTAGCTCTTGATACTAGAAGTTAGTGCAGTAGCAATTGAGTCATATAAGCATCCTTTTTTGTCCTCTTATCAAAATGTGTCCCTCTTTATCTCTGACTGGATTGTTCTCTAAAAATATGGCAAGGGCCCTTTTTCATTTCTTTTTTGTCTTGTCTTTTTTTTTGTACCAGGAATCAAACTCAGACCTTGTGCCTGCCAGACAGATGCTGTGCCACTGAGCTGTATCTCAGACTCAGGGTGCTTTTTTTGGTCAGGTTTATAGGATTCCCTTTATGCATCTGATTTCATTCCCAAGGAAGTAATTATATAGAATTGTGGGCATTTTAGCCTCCTGAGTTGTAATTTATATATAAAAATGACAAGAGTAAGCTTGACCCATTGGAGTACCCCAGTTACTGGATTTACATCTTGGATTGGAGAAGATCATGAATCAGTGTTAGCAAATGGTTTAGGTCACATGGAGGGAGTGCCCTGGGAATGGTCACTAGTAAAGCAAAGTGTATCAGGTAGTGTTCACTAGAGAAACAGATTTTGTGTGTGTGGGCGGGTGAGTGGTGTGGGGATTGAACCCAGAGTGTTGTACACCCTAGGGAAGTGCTCTACCTAAAGCTACATTCCCAGCCTGAGAACAAGATTGAACAGAAGATGTCTAAATACGAGAATTATAGGGTGGGCTTCTCATGGTCACTGGCAGTCAAGTGTGGAAGAGTGCAAAAGGGCTGTCTGCCTCTTGGCTGCTGGGGACCCCAGGGTCTAAGTGCAGGTTGGTGCTCACTGTGGAGTCTCCTCCAAGTCTGATGTAGGAGGCTGATGGTCTGCACTGGAAGCCAGCAGAAAGATGTCTGTCCTTTGGGGGCTGGGGATTTAGCTCAGCGGCATAAGTACCTGCCTTGGAAACAGGCAGTCGTGGGTTCGATCCCTGGTACCGATAAAAAGGAAAAAGACAAAAAAAAAAAAAACAAGAAAACAAAGAAAGATGTCTGTCCCAGGTGAGGGTGAGACCTCCCAGGTGAGGAGCTCCTCCAAAGAAATGGAAGCAGAGCTTCTTTTATTCCGTTTCCCTTTTTTAATTTCATTGAGGCTATAAGCTGATTGGTTGGTGCCAGACATATCCAGGGTGGGTCTTCCACCTTCCGTAAATCCATTCAGCCACACCCAGAACTGTGCTAAGCCAATCAGGTATTTCTTATTCAAGTTGACGGAACAGTTAACCAGGGGGTTTGAGGTTATGGCTGTATTCTAACAATTTTAAGATCTGTGAGTTAAATTCATGCCCACAGTTGCTAACAAGACTATTTTAGGTTAGGCCTTACACAGAACTCAGACACTTCACTGTGATGTGTGTGTTCTGGTTAAATGCTGTGATGGCAATGAAAGATTTGCAAGTCCATGACACTTTGTCTAGCTAAGTAAAGACATGTGTGAGGGATCATTCTTTGAGTCAGAGAGTTAATTTCTAATACATGCCTTTAGTCTTAGCAGATCTTATATTACATTCAAAAGTTCAGAAAATTCTGGCTATGAACAGGCATTTGCCTAATTTAATATATGGGTTTATGAAAAAAGGATCTATTTTCCTGTAAAGCTTAAGATTATCAGTATTGTTGTTTTCACTATACTGAAATTGTTTTGGTACTGGGAATTGAGCTCACAATCTCACACTTGCCAGGCGGACTCTGCCACTGAGCTACATCCCTGTCCGTGTACTGAATTTTTGGGCCCACATGCCTATGCCTGTCTCTTAGTCATTACTTTCTTCTTGATTCTGTAGTATTTAATTAGAATTTAACTCACAGCTCACAGTGAATCCTGAAATGTTTGAAGCTCCGTTGCATTTTGGCAAAATGTCATTTGGGCATAAAGTTTTTTTGTAACCAGAATCCAAAAGTTTAGACTTGTTAATAATTAAGTGCAGGCTGTGTAAAAAATATACTCACTGTTTCCCATTGAAAGACATATTTTTCTTTTATAAGAAGTTCCTTTTATTGCTCAACTGACTAGCCAGTAGTTCTGTTTGAAATAACTGAGAACCAATTACCAAGTTTTCGCCAGCATTAACTACAAAGTCTTATTTTGCTGTTCTTTTGTCATTTAATGTTACAAAAGAATGTCTTACTATCAAGTCATAACCGAATTCCCTGAGTCTCTTTGCTTCCTTTTGCCCTGTTTCTCTGATGGACAATTCTGAGTATGTTATAATGCATTTTTAAAAATTCTTGGGCTTTTTAGTTGCATAATTGTATTTACAGAAAACCAAAGAGTATTAATTTTGGCATTAGGAGTGAACAGAGACCCGGATGTGGTGGCACACACTTGTGGTCTCAGCACGTAGGAGGGTGAGGGAGGGAGACTGCTGATTTGAGGCCAGCCTGGACTGTACAGTGAGAGCCTGCTACAGAAAGAGAAAGAACAAAAGAAAGAAAACCATGATTCGTTTTTAGTTGTGCACCTTTTCACAGTTAAATCAAAGTTTCTCTTACACTGTGGGCCTCAAGAGAGGAAAATTCTGAAACGTCACAAGCATGATAGAATCGGATCTTTAGGGTGAGGCTGGTCTCAGCCTGGACTTCTGCAGGTGGGACGCCTCTGCTCTCAGCTGTGTGTCAGTGTAAGATGCTCGGAGCTGACACTAGGCACAAGTGTGGGGAGCTCTCGAAGGCTGCCGCTTGCCTTGGTCCTGCCCCTGAGCTGGTCAGTAGTGGGCTCTTAAATCCCTGAGCTGATCTCTCTTGTCCACAGTTTCCTCATTTGTACTGTACCAGATGTCTAATTCTCTTTCTAATCCAAAAACCTCTCTGTATCCAGATAGCAGCACATATTGGTTGCTTTGAGAGTGAATTACCTCTCTGGGTAGTAAGAAAATATGTTAGTTAGACTTTTTTTTAAAACTTGTTCTTACATTGCTTTGTGGTTTTCAGTTGTCTCCAATAAACTTTGTGTGTGTGTGTGTGGGGGGGGGTAATTTGTTGGGATTGAACCGGGGCCTTTGTGTTGAGCTATATCCCAGGCTTTTTAAATTTTGAAATAGAGTCTCAGTAAATTGCCCAGGCTAGGTTTGAACTTGAATCATTCTGTCTCGGCCTCCCAGAGTACTGGAATTATAGGCACGTGCCACCACACTCAACCTTCAATGAACATTTTACTTATAAAACAAAGCAAAAAAAAAAAAAAAAAACTTTGCGGGTTTGGACCCTGGATAAAATGTAGATCTTTTGTGGCAGGTACTGCAGAGGGTATACAGCCAGGTGGTGATACATACCTGGGGAGGTTGAGGCAGGAAGATTGCTGTGAGTTTAAAGCCAGCCTGGGCTGTGTAAGTGAGTTTAAGGCCAGCCTGAACTACATAGTGAGGCCTGTCTAAAAAAAAAAAAGAGGAAGAGGAGGGTGTTCAAATTGAATCACTGAGAAAGAGGTGAGGCGCTTTGACATGAGAATTATGAGGTGGCTGTGCTGGATATTTGTGCTGGTTCTCCCTGCAAGACAGACAGCTGATTAAGCTGATGACACGCTCCTGTAATCCCAGCACTCGGGAAGCTGGGGCAGGTAGACTGTTGCAAGTTGGAAAAGATGGCCAAACAGCTGGTGCTGTTGCCTGATCCCAGACTGATTCTTGCTACAGGCTCCTGGCAGTCTTGTAGGACACTTATAGATTTGGAAGGTTTTTAGCAGTGTGTCACAGCTGCTGTGTGGCGATAGCTCTACTGACAATGACACTGCGCTCAGACAAAAAGACAGAGGTGGCTTTGTTTTTGGAGCAGTTGGGAACTTTGGCTTTGGCTTTTTTTTTTTTTTTTTTGAGTCGGGGTTTTACTGTGTAGCCTTTGCTGGCCTCAGGCATCACTGCCCTATGGATTCACATCTGTGTGATCTGTGCCTGCTAGTGACCTTGCCCTCCATGTTTCATTTAAAAGTAGTCACAAACTATTTAGCAGTGATACCTTTCTTTTTACTGGTTTTTTTTTTTTTTTTTTTGGTTTGTTGGTTTGGTTTGGTTTGGTTTAGTTTTGATGATTTTTTTTTTTTTTTTGTCTTTTTCATTTTTATCGGTACCGGGGATCGAACTCACGACTGCCTGCTTACAAGGCAGGTGCTTATGCCGCTGAGCTAAATCCCCAGCCCCGGTTTGGTTTAGTTTTGAGATGAGCTCATTTAGTTTGGCCCTGAATTCACTATGGAGCCCAGGTTGGCTTCAAAGTCATGTTGGTACCCCCTACCTCAGCCTCCCAGGGTGCTGAGATTTACAAGTGTGCCCCACCACACTCAGTTCCTTTTTGGGCTTTTCAGGCACATGTCTTGACATAGAATGGGTTTGGCCACTCCAGACTTGATCTGTGTCACTAGAGGAGATGAATTTAAAGTTTAATTCTTCTCATTCTCTCAACTCTGCAGATTGTACCACCTACCTAAATCCAGTGGGGAAGCATGTGATTGCTGATGCCCAGAACATCACCATCAGCCAGTATGCGTGCCACGACCAAGTGGCAGTCACCATTCTTTGGTCCCCCGGGGCCCTTGGTAAGTGGTCACAAATCAAGGAAAAGAGAAAAAGGGTTGGGAACAAGCTGTGGTAGTATATGCCTATAATTGCAGCACTCAGAGGCTGAGGCAGGAAGAGCAGGAGTTTGAGGCCAGCCTAGGCTACATAGTGAGGCCCTGTCTCTGGACATCAAAAAGAAAAAGTCCACTGGGGGATCGTCAGTGCCCAGTGGAGGGGTCTGCATGTGATGTCCTCCAGGCAGACAGGGCTTGGTGAGAATGAGACTGAGGCTAGCTTGTCACAGATATCACTGCTACCATGGGTTGATTTAATTGAAGAGTTACAGAGAAGATAGGAAAGGACTCTAGCTTGGGTGGCTGGAGGGAGCATACTCTGATGTAGGGTTTCATACTGGCCCACCTGAAAAGGCAGAAGGCACTGGGTGATCAGTATCTCAGCCTTGTTTCGTGGCTCAGGGATCCTTGTGGCTTAGGGTGGCTCTGTTTGCAGGTAGGCACTGGTCTAAGTGGTGTAGGGCTCTATCTTTCCTGCAATGCATGTGTTAACAGGACAGTGGCTGGAGACTTCTGTGTGTAGCTAAATATGCCTGAAAACCTCTTCTTTTGGCATGAGGTCCTGTAAATAGACACTCTTTAAATGATTAACATACCCGAATGCAAAGCCTAGAAGATACTGCACCCAGACTTACAGTAACAAAGGATACAAAAGGAAGGTCAAGCTTTGCTCCGCTTTCAGTTAAGTATTGGGCACCTGTAGGCCCAAGTGAAGTGTCACAGTTTCTAGCAGAAATGACTTAATTCTCTGCCAGTCCCCAAAAAACCCACAGGTCATACTCTCAGGGAGTAGCAGGAAGGGAGCCAGGGTTGTTTCCCAGCCCTGTGTTGTCCCTGATGGTGTCATGACTGCGTCACAGACAGTTTGTACTCTGTCGTGTATGTTTACTGTTACACACAGCTTACACAGTGTGACGCATTGCTTCTTTCCTTACCACAGGGAGAGGGAGGCGGGTTTGAAAAGTCAGCATGTGTGGTGACAGGCGCTGGAGTCCTGGGCTCTTTGTCTCAGCACTAGATGGAGACAGGTGGGTGGCAGGGCCAGGAAAGCTTGTAGTCCATCCCAGAGTGCCATGGTTGGCATTAGCATTAGTAGTGGTCTTACAGATGTGCCCACCCAGCATGGGCACATTTTATGATTTTTCAAGAAAACTCTGGTTTTTATGAGAAACCGTTAAAATTTCAAGTTTGCAACTAACTGAGACTTTCAAAACTGTGTGAGCCAAAAAATAGAACAAAACAAAACAAGCCTACATTACCTGGCCAGGTTCCGCTGTGTTTGTCCTCTTGTGACCGACACCTAGGAGAGGGTGGGCTACTCAGGCATGGGCCATGGAGAGGGCCATTGTGGGAGGGCTGAAGCTTACAATCGATCTTTTCACATGAGGCACTTAAATCTCATCTCTCTTCTCAAAATCTCCAGCAAGTAGAGATAAGACCTGGCTGATGGTCAGCTGCCCACCTGGGCAGTGAATGTCCAACACTGTGCCCCCAAGAGCAGCTGTTACGATCATCAAAACCTGGGCTCAGTCCTCTTCCTGTGACATTGCCATTTTAGACATTTTCCAAAACTTGGCCAGGGAGAAGTAAAACAGTCTGGATTTTTTTGGAGACGGTGTCTCACTGTGCAGTTCAGGCTGGCCTCAAACCCTCTGCTGTCCTCCTGCCTCAGTCTCCAGGTGTGCTCCACCATCCACCCTGCCAACACCTGGACCTCTTAAACTGAACAGGAGAGATCTCTCAGGAGTTGGATTGTGGGTCAGGCAGGGGAGGATGGAGTAGATAGCCAGGCCTTCCTATCCACATAAATAGGTCGGGAGTTTGACAGGGGATGGGGGCAAAGCTAACATCATGGGGAAGGAGAGCAATCCATGTAAGGCTTAATAAGGCGGGTAAGGATGCGGCCCTGCGAGGTTTAGGCTCCCTCGTGGGGGTGAAAGTAGGAGGTGTGAGGCAGTGAATGGTAGGAGGACTAAAGTGCAGAACAGGAGAGTGGACAGAGGCCTTTTCCTGGAGGAGGAGGGTTTATAGGTGGGACGCATAGACAGCCTCTGTCAGGTTCCAGTAAAGGCACACCTGGGAAGGCAGGAAAGTACTCGGCTTACGGGATACATTTCTAAGAGCCAGGTATGTCCTAGGTTCAAAACCTGCCTCTGCTTTTTATTCCTGTGTGACCCTGAGCAAGTTAGTTAGCGTGTTTAAACCTCCATTTGATCATCTGTAAATGGGGGATAATAGTACCTTCCTCCTGTATTTGTTAGGACACAGTAATAGTTTAGATGATAAGAAAGAGAGCAGGTAAGTCCTTTCCCACATTACTTGCTAAAACTGCCATTCTGATGTAACTGCATACACAGGGTTAATGTATTAGGGTAAATGTGTACTCGTGACAGAGGAATTTCATTTGTTGCGTTTTTACCCAGCCCCAGGTTTGGCATAGTAATACTTTGTTTTCTTTTGCCTTTTGAGGCAGAGTCTTGTGTGTAATTCAGGCTGGCCTCACCCTCACAGCAACCCTCCTGCCTTAGCCTCCTGAGTGTGGGGGTAGTAATTTTTTTTTTTTTTTGAGGTAAGGTCTCACTTTTTTTTTTTTTTTTGGTACCCAGGATCAACTCACAACTTTGCGCTTGCTAGTCAGGCACTTTGCCATTGAGCTAGTTCCCAGCCCCTGGACAGTAATTTTTAAGATGGCTTTTTTTCTTTTTGTTGTATAAGGGATTGGACCCAAAACCTTAGATACACACACCACCACATTCCCAGCCCCAGGCTGACCTTTTAAAAATAAAAGAACTATAACCACCTGCCCCACTCCAGCTGATTAGTTTTTTAAGTAATTTAAAAAAATTGCAAAAGGATAGAGTCACCTGGCCTTAGCTACAGCATAGTGCTGGGAACATTGCATATGTTAAATTTTATATAAATGCTAAGAATTTTGTTTTTCAAAATTGTTGTGTTTTGTTTTGTTTTTTTTTAAACTCAAGAAGCAGGTTCCTGTGAGACTTCCTAACTAGTTGTTGGTTCAGACACCTTGTATCTTGTCATCACCTCTGGATCTCTCTAGCCTTGGATCTGCTGGCTGTCACCCCACAGGAAGCGTTGCGATTGAAATAAGAGTTGGTTCCTATGTGCACTGTGTATTCAGAGCCCTTAAAATGTGAGGCTGTAATTATGGCTCCTCTGTCCTGCTCGCCATGAAATATGTGCTCTTCATCAAGTAATTACAGGATTGGAGAGCCTACTCGAAAGAGAAAGAGACTTTCCTGGCCTTTGCCATCAATAATTTTCCCACCTGGTTAATTGCATCCTGTGTAATTACTTTTGCCCTGGGAGGGAAGGGTTGAAAATGTCTCCTTGTCTGGTGTTCAGAAAGAATGTGAAATCGATCTTGCCAGTTGAGGCCAGCTCTGGGGATCCAGCTGCAGTTGGACCACTCCAGTCTCCACGGGATACAGAGGCTGCTGCTGGCTCTTGTGGCCGTCAGGGCTTAATCCTTTTGAAAGCGTGGAGTCGAAGTGCAGCAGGGAAGCTCAGGTGGCAGGAAGCTGGGCTGGAGCCTTTCAGGGGCACCGTGGGTGCCTGGGGCACTGAGGAGGACTTTGCGAAGAGCACACACTGGCAGCCCTTGGGTGTCTGCCTTTCAGGCGAGATTAGAGCAAGAACTGCTTTGTAAATCTCATCAGCATTCCTCTAAACTGTTAATCCCAAGTCTAGGAACCCCTTGGGTGCAGACATACACTTTGTTGGGAATTTTGTGTGTTGCTCTTTGAAATGTGCCAAAAAATACAGAGCTAAAATTTGAAGTGGAAACATGGTTTAGGGCTATTTCTTAGTCAGTGCTGGGAATTATTCTCAGCTGAATGCACCTTGTATAACCTAGAAATGATCTATCCTTTTGCAGGTTTTTGTGACCAATGCTGATTGGGTCTTTTGAACCCCAAGGCCACAGAGGCAGTGGGTATTTGTGAACTGCTGGGCTGATTACAGGGTAATCATGTTAGTAACGGTGGGACAGGGAAGGAAGTCCCCTGCTCCTGCTACATCTCACAGGAACTGAGGCTGTGGGCTCTTCCTCTCGGGACTCAGGTATCCCTGGTAGAATTCAGAAGTCCTTTACCTCGAATTTGTGGGTGGAAAGGACAGTGATCTTGGAGAAAGGAAAGCGCATTCAGAAGTAATTAAGTCTGCTCTTTATGAAAGCATTCTGCTTTGCTTAGGCCTTGAATTCCTAAAAGGATTTCGGGTAATACTGGAAGAGCTGAAGTCAGAGGGAAGACAGTGCCAACAACTGATTTTAAAGGATCCGAAGCAGCTCAACAGTAGCTTCAAAAGAACTGTAAGTCGCACTTGGGGACTGTGCCCCTCAAGACAGGCCATTGTTCTAGGGATCTGAATGGTCTATTGAAAGCCTGAAATTAAAGAAGGAGGAGCTGTGGGTGAGGATGAGGAGGCTCCCCGAGCCTCATCGTGTGGAGCCTGCCTCACCACGACAAGCCTGATGGGAATTCCTTAGCACCTCGGGGAACATACCTTCTGGGTCACAGGCCAGTGGTCATCCTGGGGCGCCTGCTTTGCAGGGTTGGATGGACGATTCTCCCCTCCCCTCCCGCTGACTCTGACTCAGAGAGAGCAGGGTCTAAACCCAGACTCGATGTAGTAAAAGACCTGAATTTTTGCAGCCAGTTCTAGAATTGCATGTGAGTGACATACAAGGTAGCAGTGACGGTCTCGTGTAGGTGGATAATTTCTCAATGCCCTATCTATGTGTTTTTGTTCCTTTTTTAGGGAATGGAATCTCAGCCTTTCCTGAATATGAAATTTGAAACTGATTACTTTGTAAAGATTGTCCCTTTCCCTTCCATTAAAAACGAAAGTAATTACCACCCATTTTTCTTCAGAACCCGGGGTGAGTATGCTCTGTCCTGCCTGCTTCCCTGAAGGTGAAAAGGGGAAAGCATATTAATTTACTCCCCATTTTCCAGTGTCTGTTATACAGATGTTCAACTGAGAAGGGAAACAGTGTGGGGGGCACAAGGAAAAAACATAGGAAAAAATGGAAATAAAGCTTCTGTTAAATGAGAAAGCCAGATGTGGTGGCACGTACCTACAGTCCAGCACTCAGGAGTCTGCAGCGGGAGAACGTCTGTGGGTTCAAGGCCAGTCTGAATTGCATACTGAGGGAACACCCTCTCAGCCTCCAAAAACAGAGCATGCCAAATGCTAGGTGAGACAGGTAGGTGGGGAGGAAAGATCCTACCCACACACTTCTAGAAATTCCGATTAGGCTTTGTGGACCCAGCCAGAGACTCCCAGTTTGTTCAAGGATAGACCTGGTAGGTGATTTTTGTTGAAGATGCTTTGGCCTCATTTAAACAGCCTACTGGTTATCAGGAAATCATCCAGGACCAGGTGCTGGAGGGGCTGTGGGAGAAAAGGACCCTTCTCCACTGTTGGCGGGAGTACAGACTAGTATAGCCACTGTGGATGTCCGTGTGGGGATTCCTCAAAAACCAAGGTTGCAGGTCCCGTTCTACCCAGCTATTTCCCTGCTGGGCATCTTCCCAGAAGAATTAAAAACATCATACCACGGTGATATATGTGCACCCATGTTCATAGCAGCAGAACTTGTAATATAGCCAGATCTTGGAAACAACCTAAATGCTCATTGACTGAGGAATGGATAAAAAAATATGTATTTGTATACAATGGAGTACTACTCAGCTCTAAAGAAGGATAAACGGGACACTTCAAGAGGTAAATGGATGCAACTTGAGACTATGAGTAGAAGTGAAATAAATCAGACTTACATGTGTAAGCATTGCATTGTCTGCTAGTGTGGGAAGCTAAAAGAAATTATATTTATATATGTAAATATATACTACTAATTTCTCTAGTTCATTGAAAAGAGCAGTTTGTGCTAATATTGTTTGGACAATTAAATACTGGTAATCTTGTACTCTGTATAACTAATTTAAAGGTAACCATATTTGATGTATTAACCATTGTTATCCTCTATCATGTTTTGAAACTTTATTTTTTACTCTTTGAAATCAGCAACAATAATAAAATCCCAGCCAGCTATCAGAAGAGTGGTTTTGCTGGCTGGGTGCAGCCCAGTGGTAGAATACTGGCCCAGCACATGCAGGCCAGGGCTTTGACTCCTAGTGCACAGCCTCTGGGTGACTTTTTTTTAATTCAGCAATAAAAAGTATAAGTTGATTTGGGGTAAAAAGGCAGGATCACGAACCAGTCCCAGCTTAGACTTGTTATTAAGAAGGGGGCCAGGAATATATTAACAAAATTAAGTAATATCCTTGAGACCATTTTTAATAGAAAGTTTCATTGTTTTCATGTTAGTGTGTAAGGCTGTGTTCTAAATGATTTCCAAATAGTTTTCTCTCTGTCAATAGTCCTATTAGGAAACCATATATATTTATTAAATGTATAGTGACACAAAAGGTAAAGAACTTGCCTAGAGATGGGATTTGAACCTCAGAAGTATATTTCTGTTGGGGGCTGAGGCAAGAGGATCACTAGGAGTTCCAGGCCAGCCTGAGCCACATAATGAATTCAGAGAGCACCTGAATTACATAGTGAGACCCTTCCCTACGCAAAACAAACCAACACCAACTGAAAAAACAAAAAGCTATCAACCCCGGTCCCTCTGCAGTCCTTACCCTCAACCAGGGGCCATGCTGGGCCCCAGTTCCTCACTGTTCATTGTGCATGTGGTGTGTCTTTGATTCTTTAATATTCCTGCCCAGATACCCTCGCCACCACACCCTTTCATGGTACTGGGTGTGAGCTACATCCCTAGCCTTTTTTTTTTTTTTTTTTTTTTTAATTTGAGACGGGGGTTAAGCTGCTGGAGCTGGGCTTGAATTAGCTCCTTAGAGCATTATGATTACAGGTGTGTACCGCCGAGCTCAGCTCCGCTGCAGATTCTTGCTGTGACAGTTTTCTATGCAGCAAAGTTAGTTTATTGCAGTTTCTCTGCGTCTCCCTCTCCTTTCTCCTTAGGGATCAAACCCAGGTTTTCATATGTGTTAGGCAAATGAGCTACTGAGCCACATTTTCCCTGGCCTTATTCCTCTCTCCCCCTTCTCTGACTTCCTTCCTTCTTTCTTCCACTCTCTGTGTAATAGGGATTGGATGCATGGCCTTCACACTGAGTTACATTTTCACCCCTCTTAAAATAATTTTTTAGAGACAGAGTCTTTCTGCACTGCCCAGGTGAGACTTGAGCTAGTGATCCTCCTGGCTCAGATTCTCAAGTCAAGCTTCCCAGTGCTGGGATTATAGGTGTGCCCCACAGTGACTGGCTTTAGTTTCTGAATTAAAATACAATTCCATGGAACAAAGACTATGCACATAGTATAAAATTTCTGCCTTCACATTATAACTAGACAGTGGATGCAAAGGATGTGTTTATTAAAACTTTATCTAAACTTCCGGGAGAACATGGTGGATAGATAATAGCAGCTATGGAGACTCTCTGAGACAGCCAGCATAGAATCCAGGAATGGTGTGGTGTGAGGAGTCCTAAGCAAGGGGAGATATACCCTGCAGACCCAGGAATGAACTAAGCTGAGAGAAACCAACTGGAAATGCAGTCCCGGTGCTATAACGGGAACAGATAAAATCTCAGCGTGGAAGCTGGAACCCGTGCCTCTGGAAACCGTGATTTGAATTTCCTGCTGCCGCTGCTGCATCTGAATCGGCACAGCAGGGACAGAGAGGTGAAACCTCTGAGAGCAGGAAACAGTGAACGGAGCTGAGAGCGGGACTAGTGGGGAGCCCTGCATCGACCTGTGGAGAGTGAGAGGAACAGGGACCCTTCCATAGACTAGAAGGCTCCAACAGAGGACATTCTGGTACCGGGCAGACTAGCCAGAACAGGATGCTGCAGTGACTTTAGTCACATATTCCCCTCTCAAGCGGGATTGGTGGGGAGTGCTTGACCTGGGTGATGCCGCGGACTAAGACTCAGTAGGCTAGCCCAAACCAGGTCCCAGCACCTGGTGGCGCACCCTAGCAGTTGAAGCCTTCAGTAGGTTGACCTGGAGGGGCAGGCCCAGCAGAGGCTGCCCAGGTCTGTGTCTCCCTAGTACACTGCAGTGGGCGGGAACACCTAGCCAGCGGATTCAAACAAACTGTAACCAACAAAGAAAGAAACTGGGCCTCCTATATATGCTTGTATGGAAGGAACAAAAAGTATGGGAAGAGGGAGCAACAAGAAAGGGTCCTCAGTCCCCAATCCTGAGAACACTGATCCAGGAAAGGTAAATGCAAAGGAGAATGAGGACAGAAAACATGCAATATCAGATACGGCACCAATAGACATAAAGTGATATCTCCGGAGCCTCATAGATGAGTTCAAAAGTGAAGTATTTAATGAAATAAGGCAAGATATAAGTAGAATAGTTAGAGAAATGTTAAGCACCGCCCAAGAAAAAGCAGATGGTGAAATGGAAGAACAGAAAAAAAGGGGAGAATTGTTTGATGGAGAAAACATAGAATACGTAAAGCAGGTTCAAAGAGATTACCAGGAAACTAAAAACTATTGAAAGCTGGCATAACAGCTGGAAAGAAACTAAGGATAGATTATCTGAACTGGAGGACAGATTTTTAAAGTGGGAGCATGAAATGAAAAACTTCTTAAAAATAACAAGGAAACAAACAGCCATAATACAAAGGCTAGAAGATGATAAGAGGATCTATAACTTAAGAATGTAAAAGAAGAAGTAGGGACACAAACAAATGAACTACAAAGACTATTCACAGAAATAATCCAAGAGAATTTCCCTAATTCAGCAAAAGGTAAAGATACTCAGATGTATGAGGCATACAGGACCCCAGCCACCTATAACCCAAACAGAGCTACACCCAGGCATATAATAATCAAAATTCCAGAAATCCAATATAAGAACAGAGTATTAAATGCCATCAGAGACAAGAAACAGATCACCTACAAGGGAACACCCATCAGAATTACAGCAGACTTCTTGGCACAAACCATCAAATCACGAAGAGCGTGGCGGGAAATAATTCAAGCTTTGAAAGATAATAACCTCCAGCCAAGATTGATATATCCTGCACAACTATCCCTAGAAATTGATGGAAAAACAAGGTGCTTCCAGGATAAAGAGGAACTAGGGGAATTTACAACCACCAATTCAACTCTACAGAGAATACTGCAGGATATTCTTTCTTTTTTTTTTTTTTTTTTTTTTGTCTTTTTCATTTTTATCGGTACCAGGGATCAAACTCATGACTGCCTGCTTGCAAGGCAGGCGCTTATGCCGCTGAGCTAAATCCCCAGCCCCAGGATATTCTAAAAAAGAAAAATACCAAGATTCCAGAAACAGTGGCAGAGAGGCCACAATGAATGGAGCAGAAAGCGAAATGAAGAAGACAAACTGACAACTAATGACAGAAAAAGACCTCAACAGAAATGAGGCAGAGAAGGTTGGATGGTAGGAACAGCTATTTTGGAGAAAACAAGACATCATAATAGCTAGTGATGATTTAATATCATCTTGTTTTGAAGTCCCATCAAGCTTTTGCTCTTCTGTCTCCATCGGTCTTAACAGGTTGTATCTTATTGGATTTTATTACATGTGATAATATAAACAAAAACTTTTATAGACAAGGAGATTATCCAGAAACCATTGTTCATTTTCTGTTAGTTGATTCTAAATACCCTGTAATCCTGTCATTCTCTTGAATGGTTTTACATTGTCTTAATACGTTTGATGCTACAGTACACCAAATTATACTCCGTGATTTCAAGGAAAGAGACACTATGGTAACTACTTTTATGTTGGGATATTTTGTCGTGAAACACTTTTGCTTAAATGGTTATGTTTTAACCTGCGCTGTTTTGTTGTTATGCCCTCTTTTATCTCAATCTCCTTTTTTTATTATTTGCTTTTTTATTTTTATCTTTTTAATTAAGGGAAAAATAAATAAAAAATAACAGGATATATTATAGTAACCCACTTTGATTTCCTATTAACTTGATTTGAAACCCGGTATTGCTCTCACCATCTTGTTTTGACTGATTTTCCTCTATTCTGTTTTGCTTGATAGTACCAAGTTCGAAAATATAGGCAACAACTGTGAAGACAGTAAGATTCATTATGAGGCCCATTCTGTTTGACTATTATTTTCTTTTGAAGTCCTGTAATGTCTCCAATGTTTTGGTTTTATTGGTTTTATTCTTTACTGTTTTTTTCAATTTTATTATAACTGATGATATAGGCAGTTCTTTTTAAGATAGCAAGAGGCATTATGGTAACCATTGTTGATCACCTTGTATTTTGTTTTTACCTTATGTATTATGTCCATCATTTTGATATGACTGACTCTGTTTTGTTATGTCACCTTTGGTTTTATTCTCTTCAAAAATAATAATAATTGTGGGAGTAATAAAACCCAAAATGTGTAATTGTCATTGTACAAAAGAGAGAAAGAAAAGTGCTCTAAAGGATATAACTGCATGTATATTTAAGCGTATAAGATAGATAATCATAATACTGAGTTTTGTTGGATCATTAAACAGAACTGTTTGCAGTCTCACTGTTTGAACATCCACTTTATATGCTTTAATTTTGTAACTTGAGCAACTGTTTCTAAGATGACAATATGTTATCTATCAACTAGTGATTTCCTACTGCTTATTTTTTCTGAAATTCTGTATAACTTGTAACCTTTTTGTTTTTTTTTTTGTTTTTGTTTTTCTCCTTAAATAAAATTTAAAAAAAATTTTTTTTAATTTTTTAAAAAATTAAAAAAAAAAACTTTATCTAAATGAAAGCTAGCATAATTTAAGATTATTTTCCCTAGCAGAGTTAATGTGCCTAGAGGTGGGGGTGTGTTCCACAGTGCAGATCTGTGTCACCATCTGTGTACTGTAGCTTTAATGCTGCTTTCTGTTTTCCTGGGATTTCAAGGATAGTTCAAAAAGATTCCCTGGTATAGCAGCCTATCACGCAGGACTTTGTTGTTTGGCTTCTTTCATGTTATCCATAATGTTAACGTTACGTCCTGTTTCTAAGCTGGTTTTCAGCACTCAGCTTCTTGGTAGATGCCCATCTGTCATTTTTGGAGTCTAAGAAAATATTTGTAAATTAGAGTGCTGGTGAAGGTTAAAATAACTCTTCAACAGCTGTCAGGACCACTCTGAAGTTCTCTTGTGCCTTGACACTTCCAATGGGATGGGGATGGCACTGTTTCTCTTTGTAGCTAAAAAACAGAGCCTCCAGGTGGCAATAAGAACAAGGTTCCACTGTGCTTGTCTACCTGCCTGGAACTTGTGTAGTGCTTGATCAGCATTTTAAAATTTGGGTAGCTTTAGACTGCTTCACTTACGGGGCATAAAGTGAGCTACATAAATGTTTTTGCATTGTACTTAATTTAAATTCTCATAAGATATGGCTGCAGGCTGGGGATTTAGCTCAGCAGCATAAGTACCTGCCTGGCAAGTGCAGGGTCATAAGTTCAACCGCTACAAAAAAAAAAAAAAAGGTACAGCTGCAGTGTGGTGAATCATTTTAAAGAGATGTATTTTATACCCGTTTGAGCAGCACCAGGCATGCTATCATGTATTCCATTGAACCTTTCAGTAAGGAAAATGACAGACTGTCCTGAAACTAAAGATACCTATTTTCTTTGCAGCCTGTGACCTGTTGCTACAACCAGACAACCTGGCCTGTAAACCCTGTAAGTATGGCTGTCGCTCCCTTGTCAGGCCTACGGGGCTGCCACCGTGGGAGTGTTGGGCAGCCCCCTAAGGTGCTCACTATGCCTTCCTTCTCAGTCTGGAAGCCACGGAACCTGAACGTCACCCAGAACGGCTGGGACCTGCAGGTGTCCTTTGACCACGCACCGCACAGCTTTGGCTTCCGTTTCTTCTACCTTCACTACAAGCTCAAGCATGAAGGCCCCTTCAGGCGAAAGACCTGTAGGCAGGTGAGCCGCCAGGAGCCCTGCGTGTTTTCAGGAACCTGCTGGCGTCTGGACTTGGTGACTCCACATAAGCTTTAGACCTTGTTGGCGCTCGGCCACTAGTGGGTGTTCTAGGACAGTGGCCCTGATCATGCCTCAGACCGTCTTGATGTTGCCCCTGGTTTCCTATTCACCTGTGCTTTGACTGTTCCAGTAGTAAATAACCCGTAAAGAGGTTCTGCCAAGTGATGGGAAGAGGTGGCATCCTAGAGTACTCTTCCCTGTTCAGACATCCATCAGGTCCTGGTGTGTGACAAGCATTAAGCTTTCTCTTTGAGCCCTGACCACTCCATGAAGTGGAAACCACTCTCATCCCCCTTGCCAGGGGCAGACCTAAGTCTCCGCGCAAGGTTAGTAGTGATACCATGGTGATTGGTTTTACCCACAGTCCAAGGTTAAGCAGCTCGGTACCAGGACCTTTAACTGAAGATGGCAGAGGAGTGGACACATTTCCTAGCGCTTACGTAGGACTGCCAGAGCATGGAGAGCAAGTTTTGGTTGTGGCAGCAAAACCCATTACCTTCTCACACGCTTTGGTACATGCTTGGTTCTTTCATGGTTCTGCTGTCTTGCTGTTCTCTTTTATTGGCGGCTCACCTGCCTCTCTCTTTTGCTCAAGTTAAAATTATGACAGATAGCCAGGCATGGTGGCCATAGCTGTAATTCTAGCACTTAGGAGACTGAGGCAAGAGGATTGCTGAGAGTTTGATGCCAGCCTGGATTACATAGTTCAAGTTCAGCCTGAATTACACAGCAAGACTCTGTCTTGATAAAGAAAAGAAAGTAACAAAATAAAATTACAACAAATACATACAGTCCAGTGAAGTTTTTCTTCACACTTCTAAGAAAAACAGTGTTCTAAGAAGTTTGTGTTGAAAGGAAGTGTTTCTGCTGAGGTTGCTACAGCTAAGGACAGAATATGATGGGGTCCTGGGCGCGCTGTCTGTCAAGCTGAAGTTCAGACAACATGTGGTAGATAAGACACAGCTGCTGTCTGACCAAATCCCATCTGAAAGTGTGATCAAGATTGGTAGCAAATTTCCTTTAGCTTTGAGAGGAGGAGAGGCCCTGATGAGGCCTTTTCTAAGAAGACAGCTTTTAAAGTGTTGGTTGTTTCTTTGCAGGAACAAAATACAGAGATAACCAGCTGCGTCCTTCAAAATGTTTCTCCAGGAGATTACGTAATTGAGGTAAGTACAGCTTCAGAAGGTAGTAGTGTTCTGCTCCCTTCAGTTCATGTGTAGTTCTGTCTGTTAACACTGATATTTCAAACCACTGAAGACGTGCACAGTTACATTTTTTCATGGTTCTTACGGTTTTAAGAAATTTTAGGGTCAGGGCTTTAGCTCAGCAGCGTAAATGCCTGCTTGGCAAATGTGAGGTCGTGAGTTTAATCCCTGGCACCAAAACCAAAAAAAAAAAAAAAAACACACCCCCAAAAAAAGAGGTTAAAAAAGAGAGATTTTATACATAATAATTTGACCTTTTCATTAAATAGTTCAAATAAATGTTTTTATACAACCACATGATCCACGTAACCATCATTTGAAATGTCTATATACTAGTCTTTGATACTACAAAGATCTATTTTAAACATTTTACCCTTAGAGAAGTTTTGGTTGGCCTCTTACCTGGCTTGCACGAGGCCTTGTGTTTGAGATCCCGCAAATGTAGCAAAACGAAAGTTCTGTCCATTACATCCATCCGTACCCTGCTAGGGTTTCTGCTGCTGTTTTTCTTTTTCCTTCTTTTGCTATAGACGCCATTTGAAGGAACACGTAAATGATGTTTCTTGTCTCTTTTAGGATTACCTTGCTAGTGTCAAATTGATACTATAAAAATGGAGTAAAAGTGGATGGACAATTTGTCCTAGCCCCCGCTATTAAGAATAACTGGTATCTGTCTGTGTTTGGTGGAAACGCCCAGCCTTGCGTTCCTTGGTAGCAGTGTCCAGTGTGGGATGGACGCACCTTAAAGCACTCAGGGAGTGAGTCAGTACCAGTTTAATTGAAAATTGTTCCATTGTGGGATTCACTAGCTGAAGTCTTCAGTGAGTAAACAGCCTTCTTATTTATGAAAGGAAACCTAATGGAGGTTAGGGTTTTAAATTATAAAGAGAGGACGAACCCGAGTTTACAGGATGCCTGGCCTCAGCCTGGTGAAGGATCGCAGATCCCAGCGGCTCCTCCTCAGCCCTTCTCCCCTCACCCTGCTGCTCCCTGCTGAAAACAGCAGTGGGAACCACCAGTGTTTCCACTTCACTGGGAGACACCTTCTGTTGAGGTGCTGTCACCTAGAAGATAACGCAGCCTCCTCTGTTTTGCAGCTGGTAGATGACACGAACACAACAAGAAAGGCAATGCATTATGTCCTAAAACCAGGTGAGAAGTCCTATTAGAAGTTTTGGCTTTGGACTACTGTAGGCTAAGGTATCCCTTTCTGTATAGTTTACAGCAACAAAATAAAATGCTGTTCCTCCCTCTTAAAGGATACTCCATCAGAACCTGATGTTCTTCTCCCCTCATGTCGGTGCTGGGAAGATCAAAGCTAGTGAGGTGTCTGTTCTGGGACTAAGTAGTCAGTTGTCCTTGGAAGAAAAGCAGTGGGAGGAGCGGTTTCCTTAGGCAGAATTCTCAGAGGTATTTACTGTCTCAGCCGACTCTGAGTTACAACCCTTTAAAAATGAACCATTGAATTCTTTTATAATCACACCAGCAATAGAGAAAGGTGGTTTGGGGGCTTCCTAGAACCTGTCAGTTGGCTTGTGTTTAAAAAGAAAAAGAAATGATTCTCTTTGAACCTGTTATGCTGCTTAAGTTTATAAAGCCTTCCCTTTGAAATTTCCTAGTGCACTCCCCGTGGGCAGGGCCCATCAGAGCTGTGGCCATCACCGTGCCGCTGGTTGTCATATCGGCATTTGCAACGCTTTTCACTGTGATGTGCCGCAAGAAGCAACAAGGTATCTCTTTGTGTGCTGTGAGTCCCCGCCCCCCTGGGGGCAGCCAGGGGTTGAGGCAACAGAGAGGGAGAAGGGGGGCACCTGGTCTCTCCTGGGGACACCTGTGAAGCCTCAGCGCCTCAGCATTGCCTGCTGTGGTCCCCAGAATAAAAATATTTGACTTTCAATCTCAGGAACCACTAAAAGGAAAGGCACAATTTAATTTTCAAATGTAAGATAATAAATTCAAGGGCATAAAGGAAGTCTAAAACATAAGGAAGGATATGGGGAGGGGTTGATACATGAGTCGGGTGTCATGTAAAACCCTTCTGGGGACCATACATTTCTAAAACGATTCATACATTTCTATATTGGAGCTATCCAGATGCATGCTTGTATAAAAATTCATAGGCTATATACTTAAGATCTGCACACTTTTAGCTGGACTCAGTGGTGACACCTATAGTCCCAGGCATCTGCAAAACTGAAGCAGGAAGGTCACTGGAGGCAAGGTTGGGCAACATAGTGAAACTTTGTGTTAAAGTAGAAGAGGGGGAGGATTTGTACAGTTTATCTCTGTAAATTACACCTAATACAGTTTTGTTTTGTTTTTAGACAGGGTCTCGGTCTGTAGTCCAGGCTGACCTTGAATTCACTATGTAGGCCAGGCTGACTTTGAACTCTCGGTAATCCTCCTGCCTCAACCTCCCAGTGCTGGGATTATAGGTGTGCGCTACCACGCCTGGCCCCTTCCTTACTTCCTTCCTTTCTGTTTTCTCCTCTCCTCTCCTCTCCTCTCCTCTCCTCTCCTCTCCTCTCCTCTCCTCTCCTCTCCTTCCCCTCCCCTCCTTCCCCTCCCCTCCTCTCCCCTCCCTTCCTCTCTCCTCTCCTCTCTTCCCTTTCCCTCCCCTCTCTCCTTTCTCCTCTCTCTCTTCTCTCTTTCTCTGTCTCTTTTTCTTTTTCTTAAAGGTCAGCAGCTCTGCAGTGATTAATTTGTCTAGTACGCATGCAGGCATATTTGATTCCAAGAGCCAGTTCTGGGCAGTTCTTTGACCAGAGTGGCTTGTGCATTTCTTAGCTCATCTAAGGTCAATGTCAGATTAAGAAGTTTTTGGCCTTTTGATACTGCAGTGCAAAAACTGGCTGTCCCAGTCACAACAGGGACCTAAAAAACTGGTGGAGTTGGGGAATGGGGCTCTAGGTGGATATATCGATGTTCTTGAAGATACCATTGAGGTCTGTCTTGTGGAACAAGACAAATCTTTATTCATAGGTGTCAATGCTGTCTTCTTTCCCAATCTAGAAAATATATATTCACATTTAGATGAAGAAAGCTCTGAGTCCTCCACGTACGCTGCAGCAGTCCCCAGGGAGAGGCTCCGACCTCGGCCGAAGGTCTTCCTGTGCTATTCCAGTAAAGACGGCCAGAATCACATGAATGTTGTCCAGTGTTTTGCCTACTTCCTTCAGGACTTCTGTGGCTGCGAGGTACAGAATTTAAAGTCTCTTACCCTGGGCAAGACTCATGCTCCCTATTGTCTCCTTGCAGCCTTCTCTTTCCAGCTCTGCTTCTGTGACACCTGGCTTTGATTCATGCCATAGTTTCCAAACTGGAGAGAATCTGGCACTCTACTTTCAGTCTGTCTTGTGGATCTCAAGCACTAAGTGTTTTGTAACTTGGTTCTTAGCTTGACGTACTCCTGCTCAAAAACCTTGATTGGTACCCACATGGCAGGAAATTTTGTGAGCATTTAAAAAAATACAGTAGTTGCCTGTCTTAGGAACATATAAACCAGGGTGCTGATTGGGAAGTCACTCTAGTATCCTGGTAAGCATGTGCAGGACCAAAGCCTCAGTGGAAAGTCAGAATGACAGGAATAATAATTCGTTGAGAAGGTTTTACTGGGAAGGGTAATGGAGAGCAGGACTTGCCCTGGGGACCAGGAGAAAGGCTTCAAAGTTATGGAGTCATGGGAAGTGATGAAGGAGAAGGCAGTAAAAGACAAGTAGGACGTAAGAAGGGAGGACCCCAGAAAACGGAGTCAAGTGCTCGAATGTCTGTTCTGGCTTCTTAGCTGTTTGGTTTTTTTTTTTGTCTTTTTGAGACGGAGTCTCGCTATGCAGTTCAGGCTGGCCTTGAACTCACAAAGCTCACTTTGTAGCCCAGGCTGGTCTCGAACTCACAATGATCCTCCCACCTCAGCCTCCTGAGTGCTGGGATTACAGGCGTGAGCCACCACGCCCGGCTCTTTATTTATTTATTTATTTATTATTTATATACTGTTAAGTTAGCTATTAATTTGGAGCTTTTCTATCATATCAGTATTGTTAATTTTTACAGTGAAGCCTGAGGCTACCACAGACGGCATACAGTTTCTTATAAATTGCAACAATTATACAATGATTATATAGTTAAAAGTTATTTGTGCTTTTTTTATCAGTACATGTTTGCTGTACATGGTGCTTACATTCCTTATGTGGAGTTGGTACATGTACACAACTTATTGTATTTTCTTGTCTCATCCCCTTTCACTCCCTTCCTTGCTATTGTTCAGATGTTCAGATGTTCAGAATCTCCATGGGGTGAGTCTGCCCTCTGGTGTCAGTAAAAAGTATGAAGGTTCCATTTTCCTCCATTCCCAAGACCTTGGCCGATCACCACCTGCTGGAAAACAACTTCGAACTCTAGCTGGTGGCTTCAGATACCACAGACATATTTGGTGTCTTTCTTCCCAGTCTTTTTCTGCACAAATGAAATCCTAACTACAAATTTGTACTTTGAGCAGACTGGAATGATTGATTTCTGTCTGTTAATGATTTTCTACACTTTTAGTGCTTCTGTGCTATGCTGTTTTAAATAGCAGCATGATTCATAATATTTATCATAACTGAGTTAGTGTAAATTATTCAGTGAACAGTAGTTCAGTACTGACCCATTTCTGATGATTTCCCTGTGGATGAATGCCTGGAAATGGAACTGCTGAGTCAAGATAGGAATGTTTTTAAATGCTTGTATATTCTCCCAATTAGCTTAATCTTGTATACCCTTAGGAAGAACTAAGGGAAGTATAAGGCAATTCAAGCTTACTTTCAGCAAGTGGATGGCTATCAGGGTATTCTTCCCTTTGAAACATCTTAGAGCAGAAAAGGAAACAAAGTCATTTGAGCATTTTGACACTTCCACTCAACACTGGCTAATATTTTTGGCCATAGCCATTGGTTAGTTTCTGAACTATAGAAGGAACCACCCTAATGCAGTTGCTAAGAGATATTTTCAAAGCAGAATCAGATAAAAGTGATTGAGAAGTAAAACTCCCAGGGGCCACAAATACCTAGATTCCTTTAATCTATCAGGATCCCACCAAGGACACTTCTCTCCCAGATTCCCTGAGTCTCCCTGCCCTCAGGCCTTGTCCAGTTGTGACACTGTGCAGTGGACCTGTGAAGCCATGGAGGTGGTAGTCATTTTGCCTTGTTAAACAGAATGGCTACGTCAGCGCAGCTTACTACCCTCCTCCCCAACGCTGACCCAACTGGTAAAGAGCATGGTTCAACCCAGGTCTGTGAGTGTTCAGAGAAGTCCACTTTGTCAGCCACACTCCAGCAGTGAGTCACCTAGCATTGTGGGTGACTCGGGTATCTGAACCTGCACCCTGTTTCCCAGAATACTTTGGAGTTACTTGTCTGTGTCCTCTCAGAGTCTGCACCTTGCATCTGGCTGCCTCACTCATAACACAAACCAATCCGAGTTCCTTCTTTTTTTTTGGAGATAGGGTTTCACTATGTAGTTCAGGCTGTCCCTTTGTAGCCCAGGATGGCCTCGAACTCACAGCCATCCTCCTGCCTATGCCTTAGACTGCTGGGATGACAGGATGCACCCCTGTAACCGGCTAGCCAGCTAGCCCTGATAGTCTGTTCTCCACTACACTGTGGGTTCCTTGAGGGTTTCCTCTGCAGTGATTTAGACAAGTTGCAAAAAGTCCCATACTCCTGGCTTTTCACTGGTGGGGCAGCACTATGGCGACCCTACACAATGCTAAAAGAAGTTGATGGATGGCAAGCCTTTGCAGGGCTCGGTTTCTTCACCACAGAAACCTGGCTGTTTCTTTGCACACTAGTGGGTAACCAGAGCCTGCACTCATTGTGCAGGTAATGGGTATGGGCCAGATGCACACCACCTCCACTAACATTCACAGTCGCACCATCTCGTTCTTGCTCCTGAGGTTGGTGCAGATAAGTGAAAGGTTCTGTTTCCTGCCAGGTGGCTCTGGACCTGTGGGAAGACTTCAGTCTTTGCCGAGAGGGGCAGAGAGAATGGGTCATCCAGAAGATCCACGAGTCCCAGTTCATCATTGTAGTGTGTTCCAAAGGCATGAAGTATTTCGTGGACAAGAAGAGCTACAAACACAAGGGAGGCCGCCGCAGTCCGGGGAGAGGGGAGCTCTTCGTGGTGGCCGTAGCGGCCATTGCGGAGAAGCTCCGCCAGGCCAAGCAGAGTTCAGCCGCAGCGCTCAGCAAGTTCATCACCGTCTACTTTGATTATTCCTGTGAGGGAGACGTGCCCTGCATTTTGGACCTCAGTGCCAAATACAAACTTATGGACAACCTCCCCCAGCTCTGTGCCCACCTGCACTCGGGAGACTGCAACGGCCAGGAGGCGGGGCAGCACCCGGGGCCCGGAAGCAGAAGGAACTACTTCCGGAGCAAGTCGGGCCGCTCACTCTACGTCGCCATCTGCAACATGCACCAGTTTATCGAGGAGGAGCCCGACTGGTTTGAAAAGCAGTTTGTCCCCTTCCGCCCTCCTGCAGTGCGCTGCCGAGAGCCGGTCCTGGAGAAGTTTGACTCAGGCTTGGTTTTAAATGATGTCATTGGCAAGCCAGGGCCAGAGGGTGATTTCTGCCTAAGGGCTGAGGCCGCTGTTCCTGGGGCCAGTGTGCTACCTACAGACTCGCACCTGCAGCCGGAGGGTCCTCGTGGGGGTCTGGACCACGCTGCCGAGGCCCAGGCACCTCACGATGGGGTCTCGGCGCTACAGCCCCTGCTGCTTGCGGTGAAAGCTGGCGGCCCCTCAGATATGCCTCGGGACTCAGGCATCTATGACTCCTCCGTGCCCTCCTCTGAGATCTCTCTGCCTCTAATGGAAGGACTCTCAGCTGAACAGACAGAAACATCGTCCCTGACGGAGAGCGTGTCCTCTTCCTCAGGCCTGGGTAAGGTTCCCTCGGGTCAGATTCCTGCCACACCATTTAAACTCTACAGTCTGCCAAAGCATGTTTTGAATTTTGGTGCCTACTTCTAGAGAGTGAAACCTGATGAGAAGAAATATTACTTCTTTGACAGTCTTAGTGTATCCCAGGTAATGGGACTGTTCAGGTGTTGGAGCTACAGAAATACTGATGCTAAGTTACTGTGAATTGCCCAGACCTGGCAACGGGTATTACATGGCGTACAGAATGTGTGCTACATGGCTTTTCTGAACTCAAAAATATTGGGCTACTAAAACACATTTAGGGGGCTGGGGATTTAGCTCAGCGGCATAAGCACCTGCCTTGCAAGTAGGTGGTCGTGAGTTCGATCCCTGGTACCGATTAAATTTTTTAAAAAAAAGTGTAAAACACATTTAGTTCCAAGGGTGTTGGATAAGGAGGTATGTCTGAGACTGATAGTATGTCCCTTCTCCTTGTTTTAAAAGCCGTATTTATTGAACCTGAAGTTCATGGGTGAATTTTTTCTTTCTCCTAGCTCAGCACAGACCTATTGATAGAAGGGCTAACCTGGTGTGGTGACACATGCCTGTAATCCCAGCACTTGGGGAGCTGAGGAAGGAGAATCACTTGTGATTTTTGAGGCCAGCCTGGGCTACACTGTAAGGCCCTATCTGAAAAAGAAAGGTTCTTGTAGGAGGATCTGTTTGTTTCCCCTGGGAGCCCCAGCAGCTTACTGTCTCAGCCTGTTCCTTCCTGTGCCTGTGACTCACTGGAGTCCTGCACCCAAACCCTGGACCCTCCAGGAATCTGTTAAGAGCATGGAATGCCATATCTTGAGCTGGTTTGATGCCTGCCTCATTTGTGCAAAGCCCAAATTCAAGTACAACACTTTGGTCTTAGTGTCTGGCACAGTGAAATGCAATGACTGTGTGGCAATGTCCTGTCTTCTTTTTCAGGTGAGGAGGATCCTCCTACCCTTCCATTCAAGCTCTTTGCATCTGGGATGTGCAAAGCAGAACTTGGTTGCCACAGCTACACTGATGAATTCCATGCGGTTGCCCCTTTGTAACAAAACAGAAGAGCCTAAGCATTGCCACTTTAGCTGCCACCTCTCTGATTCTCCAGCTCATCTCTGTGGTTGCATCACCTACTTGGAGCTGAGTACTCATACAAGGAAATTTAGGGTGAAATTCTGGCCAGGACTTGGTCCCCAGCCCCAGCTTTCTACCAGCTATCTTGGCAAAGTCCCTAAGACCATATACAGAACTCCGAAAGGCAGGTCGAAGTCCAATAGCAGCTTTCTGGGTTAGGTCAGGCCTCGCATCAGAGCCTTCTCTAGCAGTAAAAGGAAACAGAGAAACAGAAAAATACCTGCACTGATTGATCAGACTTAATTGAGCTCTTCATACTTTGCCTGTTTACTTTTGGCTATTTTGGTTTGGAGTGCTGGATAGAAAAGACACTTCTAAGTGTCATTATAGCCACAGAAATCAAAAGCCGGTCTTGCCGGAACCCATGTCATATTATAGATGTTTCTATCTTATTTTGATGTGGAACTTACAGTGCTACATGTAGTAAATAAGATTTGGTTAAAGATAAGGTGATTGATTATACCTTTCTAAAAGCGAATCTATGTATTACACAGTAACGTGGCTGGCCGAGGTGGAGGCACAGCAGGCTGGCGTCTTAACTGTTCCAGCTCAGCTTTCCCTTGATCTGAGTGGGCAGCATGTGGGGGCCAGAGCTGCCTATCAGGTTTCTCTGGGTTACACTGACTGTGCTGCAGCTCCTGTGATGGAGTCTGAGAGTTTATTTTAAGAGACTATTTCCCAGCTGAGCCGTATTATTGAAAGTTGCAGATCATGCTTCAGTTGCCTTGTGGTCTAAAGCTGTGTCCTGAATATCAGACATCAGAATTCACTGAAATGCAACAGTGAATGGAGGTGGTGGCCAGTAATCTGCTGAACTGGTTTTGACTGAAGACAGGCCTGTTTTTAAGATGATAGAAAGGTGGGAACTATCATACAAGTAAATGTTTTATTTTTGTGAATGACTTAAAAAAAAAAAAATTTGTTTCCAAAGGGAAAATATTTGTTCATATTCCATTTGTTTAACCGATGTGTAGAAATGTTTTAGTCTCCTAGGTGGAAGCCCTTGTTCTCCCTGTCCCGTGGAGCACACGTGAACTCTCTATAGGTGCTTTTGGATTTTTGGTGGCCAGGTTTCTCAGCATTCAACCCAGTTTTCACTCACATTAAAGGAGGTGCTGAAAAACATCTCAAGGTGGAGTGAAATGGGGGAGAGGACAGGACTTTGCCTTCCAGGCACATGCTGAGCAGGTGGAAAAGGGGAAAACTTGCGCTTTTACTGGAAAGAAGAGGTTTTGTGTGTACTTTAGATGAAAAATGCCCTAGTCCCTGTTCTGTAAAGGCAGCTGGCAGCCGTTGGGAGAAGAACGTGCTAGTCTGTTCTTTGGCATCAAGTTTCCTGCAGCTGCTCTGAGGGAGGGACAGTGAACTGGAAGACTCTCCCCATAAAGCAGGCATTTTGGTAGGTGAGGGATGTGCTGCTTGTTACCATGCTCTCCAAGACAAGTGCAGACTTCTGTCTATCTATAATGATCTTGTGGCTTCATCCTCCGTGTACATTCTGTGAAAGAGATTGTTGGGTCTGAAATTGCAAACATACAAAAATCACTTAGAATTATTGGAGATTTCCTACTGAGTCCAAGAGATGTTTTATGGGGGCTGGGGATTTAGCTCAGCAGCATGAGTGCCTGCTTTGTAAGTAGGCAGTTGCGAGTTCGATCCCTGGTACTGATAAAAAGGAAAAAGACCAAAAAAAAAAAAAAAAAAGATGTTTTATGCCCTCAAAGGCATCAGACTGCTGGAAGTACCTACAGATGTTATCTGCAGGATCAGGAGCAGCAGCATTTACTGGCAGGGTGTGGGCAGAGCACTTAACTCCATGGATTCATGTGTTAGGAAAATGGCAAGGAAAAAAAAAATTGCAAGGATAGAATGCTAAAGGTGATATGTAAGATTGGATTTAAAGTTTGGATTCTTTTTAATTGGTACCAGGAATCGAACTCACAGCCTCACACCAGGCAGGCACAGTGCTGCTCCAGTCCTAGAGTCTGCATTCTTACTTTGAAGTTTTAGTATATCTAATTAACAAACCCAAACTTTGAAATAATGAAAGTACAGTGTGATTACCTAACTCAGAATACATGCACTCTGACTTCCAGGGTTTGCCTCATTGTGCTGGGAGTGGGAATAGTTCTCTTGGAGATTAAGGCAAAACATCTGTTCCTAGCAGAGCTACATTTTTAACTCAGAAAAATGTCACAGACAGTAGACATGATAAGATGGAATCCAAGAAAAAGTTCTGCCAAATACAGGCTTTAGATTCTGAGGAACCAAGAACTAGATTATAGCAACAATTTCAAAGACCTTGATCTGAAAATAAATAGCTAATGAGCATTTTTTTTTTTTTTGGTTGATCTTGAAAGTTAATTATAAGGATAAGTTTAATGGTGTTCTCTGGAAAGGAAACCGGGGCTCTGGAAAACTAAGACTGAAGGCAGGGAGGTAGTTTTTTCACCTTCATTAATGTTTCCCAGAAAGGATTTTGCATCAGATGCTATCAGGTCTTCTAGGAGAGTGATTGGGGCAGTTAAGAGCCCAGGTGGGTGTGCTCTTCTGTGGAAAGTTGGCTGCAAGAAGCAGACTTCTTGATGGACCGGCCTAGGCGCATGGCAGGCGGGGTTTTCTAGAGGTCTGAGACCTGGGCTTTGAGGCACACAGATGTTCAGAAAGAGTGACAAGTCATTCTAGTACAGGCCCGGGTGTTGGTGTTTGGGTTCAGACTCCACTAGGTGATACAGTATTGTGAGCTGAAAATGAGATTAGGTCACAATAAACAGTTTTGTTGATATGCTATAAGATAATCTCACAAAGTTTTAAAAAAGTCTTCAGAGTCACATATTGGAATAAGTATAGATATTTCAGTTCATGTACATTTGTCAAAGTTCAGTTGCGCTATTCAAAGCAACAGTTTTTTGGTTTTGTTCTTTACCAACCCATAATCTCAGTCTTCTGATTTATGTGCAAATAAACAGGAATGTATAGTAATATTTCTCCAACGTAGGATGACATGATTTGGAGAGTGTTTTTTTTCCAGCATTGAATATTTTTTTCCTTTAATAGAAACAAAAAAGGAAGAAAGCTATTTTATTTTTATTTTAAAGAGAATAAAACCAAACAGAATAAAGCCAGTCAAAATAGAAACAGTGGAAATGGTACATGGTAATAGGAAATCAGCAATGGCTACCATAATGCCTCTTCTTCAAAATAACTACCCATACCATCATACGTAAAAACAGAACAGAATAAAATCAAACAAAATGAAAATGATACAGGACTTCAAAAGATAATAGGAAATAAACAATGACTACCATAATATATCTTATCTTGGAAATAGCTACCCATGCCATCAGATATAATAAAAATAAAACAGTTTAGCAAAACAATGAAAATGATACAGGACTGTAAAACAAGATGACAGGCAATTAACAATGTTAATCCATCAGAAGGAAATCCCTCACAGTTGCTGTATTGCATATTGTTATCCACTAAATAGATGCTCACACAACTAACTGGCTTTAGGCCTGCGAAGCCAATCAAACCATACAGGCATTAAGTGTTTTTTTTTTTTTTTTTTTTTTACTTCTGTGGCCATCATCAGCTGGTTGCTTTGGGTAGGGTGTCCTTGGTACTTCGTGTCTCCCAACCTGTGTGCTGGCTGGCTCACAGGAAAGGGTTGGCCCTGCCCACAGTCCCACTGGCTCACAGGAAGGAATTGGCCTCTGCTTGGTTCTCTTTCCAGGACTGCTATTTTACTCTTGATGAAGAAATGACATAATTTCCCTTCAAAAGAAAGAAAATCCTGCAGCCCCTGGCCACCACAACATTCTTAGGAAGAGAGAAGTCACACTGGCTTCACTGGAGAGGTGGGCATTGCCAGTGTGAGGATCACTAGGCCTTTCTGTGCCTTCTGGGGCCACCAGGATGGCCAGTTATAAGGAAGACGGCTGTGTGACAATGGATGGCAGTGACACATCTCATCGGCAGGGATGACGGGTGGTGAAGCTGTGGCAGATCGAAGAGTGCCTTTGTATCTTACAAGAGACTGCAGTCAGTGTGACACATTAGTTATTTCCTAGTATTCCGGTTTCTCCAAAGAAGATGAAAATTTTATGTTAGATATCAGCAACTAAATTTAAAAATACTTTAAGTGAGTTCAAGACCAACAGAACACAAGAGATAGACCTAGTTTGGCCCAGTGGCTGCTGGATTGTGACCGCGGCTTGAAGGTTTGAAATCAGCCAATCCATAATCATTACAAATGCTGGCTACTGTCAGAAAATGCTATTGCTAAATGCAGCCGGTTGCCAGATTGTTCACTTTATCTGTCATGCAGAGAAATTTCGTGAGATTCTGAAATGTACTTGGAATGTTTTGATTGCCTCTCTTACATTTTGTGATGCTTTTTTAAATTTTTATTAGTACATGCTTACATAATGTCATGTTTTAAGAAAAAGGCAAATTAGGTGCTGCTTTCAAAGTCAGATTTATATTCTAATATAAAAGAATAGAATGCTTGAAACCATTCCATTTAAACTTCACAGCCTGTAGCCTAGGGCCTTATTTATAAGTTAGCTCTTAACGTAATTTTTTTTTTTTGTCTTTTTCGTTTTTATCGGTACCAGGGATCGAACTCACGATTGCACACTTGCAAATCCCCAGCCCCTAACATAATTGTTTTTTAAAATGGTTTATAAATTTGAGCTTAGTCCAAGACCTGTTTAAGAAAAGAGACATTTTGGAAAATAAGGCAGAAAAAATAGTTCCACTTGGGCCATGAGTTTATATGACCTTCTGTTTTAATGATTGTAAGTTGATGTTTCAGAGGTATGAGACAGTAGACACAGAAAAACTCTCTCAATGTTGCGAAAGCAGGAGTCCCATAGGCATTGGGTCGCCCTGCCATATCACTATCAAGGCGCAGGGTGGGAGTGAATAAAAGGAAGTCAGACTTTAAGCTGATAGCTTTGATTCGGATTTCAGAACACTAATGCGGGGCTAGCAGGTTCCTCCCTTATGTCAGGAGCTGTGCCTGAAATTGGCCCTGACGTGTGGCTGTGGGTGAGATTCTAGATTTTCATTCAGTGAAGGAGATTTTGTAACCTACTCTGTGGATCAGATAGCTCTTACTATCTTCCTTCTAGAAATTCAAACCAGCTTTCTTTTGTTCAGGGTGTGGTAGAGAAAGAACAGCTGGTCACCTTCTGTGTAGTTAAAACCATAGTGAAGTCATCCCACTGGAGTTTTTAGTTCAGTGGTAAATAATCCCGTCCCCCTAGCCATTCTTCCTGGCTCTTGTTTTCCAGGGTTTTAACAGTTTTCCCTGTTGTTACTCATCTTCACTCTCAGTTTCAGTGCCCAGACAGAAACTCTGGTGCCTTGTTCACATCGGTGCCTTGCAGCAGCCAAGCTCAGAGTGGGACTCTAGGGAGTTTCCTGTGTGCCTGGCTCCCCTTACTTGGTGGAGACAAAACCGTACTTCACAGTGCTGCGTCACTGACGGTCGTCTGGAGGATTATTAGGCGGCCACATGTGTTTCCCTTCTTCCCAGTCCTCCCGCAGTTGTCCTTTCTCCTATCCTGTGGTTTATTTTCCCTGCTGACAGTGATCACTTGGTGCTTACTTCTGCTGTGTTTATTGTTCTGAAACTTCAGGATATTCAAGACCAGCTCTTACCTTCTGAGCGGCAGCTACCCCACCCCCCATTTTTTGGATTGTGTATTATCTAGAGATGTGTATAATTTTTATTTTGAGACTCATGGTATTGTTACTTTAAATGTAACCACTGGTGAAGTGAGAGCAGCCATTGCTAAGTGCCACCTCCCCATTGCTGTTTGAGGGGATAATTTGCAAGCATGTTGGTATTCCCCAGTGAGACCCTCAGGGCAGTTTTGCCAGTTGTCTTCTCCCCACCCTTTGGTTCCCTCCTGAGGTTCATCTTGGACTGTGAGACACCCCCAAGAGCTTTGCCATGTTCTAGAGGCGGAGCCATGGTGCTCAGTTCCGCAGGGACTCGCTTTTGCACCATCAAGATCTGACAGAAAGGAGCATGCATATCTGATGTCTATACCATGTAAAATGTCAGTCAGGAAGATTCCAAGCAGTCATGCCCTTTGTGCAAGAAGGAGACATAAGTGGCTGCTCCCACATTTAGGCAAAAAATTTCCATTGGCTATCTTTAATGTGTTTGTCTGTTATAAAAAAAATTCTGGTTTTTGTTTTGTTTTCTCCCAAGAAGAAAACCGTGAGTCTGGACAGCAGCAAAAGCTTCTGTGAAAACCGAATGTGTTCATTTAGAGAATAAGTAACAGATTTTCACTACTAATTAAAAAATTTCACTGTGGAAATTTTCACTGGGGAAGCTCCCTGTGTTCTCTTCCCAGGGGAAAGCCTGTGGGACACAATGGTTATTGGTGTCATTGTTTCCGTTTCATTTTTAAATTGTTCATTTGTGGGATTCAGTGAACTAGTGACACTGACAGTGTAGCAATGTGCTGTATTCTTACATTGAAGATGTTATAAGGTATGATTTGTGCATAACTGTAAATAAACGATAGTAAACCATAGCCAACACTCACAAGACAGTTTTGTACTTTAGAATTTCTGAAACAAATAAAATGTTTTAAGACTGAGGCTGTCTATTACTTAAACACCGAGCCTGTTTCCTACCTGGGGTTCTAGCGCAGTCGTCTGAGGGCGTGGCCTCAGGATGAGAAGAGAGTATTTGAGGAAATAGGGAACCCTGCTGCCCTAAACCACTTACCTGTCCTCCAGTGGGCAGCCGGCAGTCACCTGTGGCATCTGGAGGCTCTGCAGTGACAAGAAATTTGATTCTCAGAACAAATGAACTGAACTAAGATTTTCAAAAAGACACTGAAATTTGGAAGCCACACAAATGCTCTTCTGCCAGGCCTTCCCCACCTGTGTGCTCATTGCTCTACAAGGTCACTTTTTGGTGCCTGTCAACTTCAAGGTCAGTTTCCAGGGCTGCTGCTGTCTCTGTGACCTGTAACTGTGGGACAGTGGTCCTTGGCTGCCTATCAGTAAAATGGGCCACATGTTCTATTTCAGAGGGTGCTGAAGTAAACTATGTGATAAGGGTGAAGTGTGGCTGGAATAGCCGGTGTAGTGGCCCATGCCTGTAATCTTAGCATCTGGGAGGCAGAGGCAGGAGAATTGCAGCAAGTTTGAGGCCAGCCCAGGTGAAAGAATGGAAGATTTTGAGGCCACCTGGACTACATAGCAAGACTCTGTCTCAAAAAAAAAAAAAAAAAAAAAAAAAAACCCAGACCACAAGTGGCATATGTCAGAACACTCAGGTATGCAAGATAGAATCACAGATGTTAAACAGCAAGGACACGAAATAGAAGCCCTTTGGCTATTAAAAAAAGGATGTAGTCTATTTGGGACTTAAGTACATGGTAAGATTTTTAATTGGATTTTTCTTGTTTCTTCTCATAAATCCCCTGATATTGTTATGTACAACTTGTCCTTTTTTGGGAGCCAAGGGAATGGTTAAAAAACAGCTTTATAGCTGGTTGGGGTGACACAGATGTGTAATCCTGACACTGGAAGGCTGATGCAGGAGGATCTCAATTTGGAGTCCAGCCTGGGCAGCTCAGTGACTTAGACCTATCTCAAAATAAAAATAGGGCTGGGGTATACCTCCGTGCAAAGGCCCTGGGTTCAGTTCCCAACACTACATGTAAGACTTCTACCCCCCAAACTTCACCTTTTTGAGGAGGAAATTCCACCCAGTTCTCGTCTCTCATATTTGCCTATCCTCCATTTTTCCCTGTTTACCCGAGACACTGCTGCTCTTTTCACCCATTGATCCCTGTGTCACGGTCTCTGTTATTTCTCTTTTCTTCAGCTCATATCTGAGCACCAAGTGTTTCACATGCATGGCCCTGAGCTGCACAGGTATGCTGTCCCCACTTCACCGCAGCATGGCCTCTCCTACTCCTCAGCTCACAGTGGGCAGCCAGCGCCAGAGCGCCTGTGCCCTCAGTTGAGGTGTGGCCGGGTCCAGATAGAGGTGGCCTTGAAAGTCTCTCTCTGGTCAAAGGCAGCGTAAAATGGGTGGTGGCAGAAGGGAGTGACAGGCACCTCTGCGTTTCAGCATGGTTGCTTCCTGTGCCAAGCACCCCCTCCCTCGCCTTCGCCTCATGTGGAAGGAACTATCGGATTGAGCTCTTGGAGCCCCAAATTGAGGAGCTCCATCAAGGGTGCAAGCAAGGAACTGGCAACCGGAGGCTAAAACGTGAGTCAGCATCATTGCTGCCAAATGAAGCTGTGTACACCACCCCTCTGCGTGGCTGAAGGGGCAGGAAGAGCTTTAGGAAGCACACTGGGCCAGGGACACGGCTCAGCTGTGCAGCACCTGCGTGGCAGGCACATGGCCCTAAGTGTGATACCTGGTCCGGGGGTGGGGGAAGCAACACAGTGACTTGGTTCATTGTCAGCAGAGTTTGTCTTTGAATAATGAGAGTAAACCTGGTTCAGAGCTTAACATCTTGATGTGAAGAATCTCAGTTTAAAGTTTTAATAAAAATATTGATTAAATATTTCATTAACAGTTGTAGCTGGTCGTGTTAGTAGGGAAAATCGTCTTATTTTGTGTTTTGAGGCAGGGTCTCGTTATGTAATCCAGGCTGGTTTTGAACTTGTGGTGCTCTTACTGCTTCAGCTTTACGCATGCTGTGATTATAGTCATGTGCCACCATAGCCAGCAAAAAACTCTTGGATAACATGAGAAGTCCTGATTTTTACCGACATACTAGGAAGTGGAGTCAGCCAGGCGAGCTAGTAGACATCTGTAATCCTAGCACTAAGCAAGCTGAGGCAGGAGGATTGCTGTGAGTTTGAGGCCAGCCTTGGCTATATGTTGAGTTCAAGACCAGGCTGAACTGCACAGCAAGACCTTGTCTCAAAAGAAAACAAAACAAGGCCGGGAATTTAGCTCAAGGGCATAAGCACCTGCCAGACAAGCACAAGGTAGTGAGTTCAAACCCTGGTACAAAAGAAAAAAGAAAACAAAACAAAATAAGGGGGTTCTTGCAGTTTCCAAAATCTCTGGGGCCTTGTGACAGAAATGCCAACTTTATTTGTGGTGTAAGGGCCTTGTGTGTGGTTAAGCACTTGGGCTTCCATTGGGCCTCTTGCTCTAGAAATGCTAACATTACCTACAGGGAGCAAAGACCAGCTTCCTCTTGCGGGCTTTAACTGGAAAACATGTCATTTTGCAGGCAATGAGCTAAGCAGGTGGTAGGAGGTCCAGCGCATGGGTTCCTCAGTAAATGACTGTTCCCGACTCCTCCCTCAGCCTCCCTTGTCCTTGCCCACTGGAACAGGAGCGGAGCCTGGGGAAGAGGGTAGAGATGACACAGACTGCAAATGCAGCCAGGGCCTTGGGAATTAAGGGAAGGTAAGGCAGGAACAGCGAGCCAGCTCCCTGGCGTCTCTCTTCCTAGTGGGGACATTGTACCTTACAGGTTAGCACCATGAGTAAGAAGGGGCTTTGACCTTGTGATCCTGAACTTAGATCTCAGTCTGTATGGTACTGTTTAGGACTTAGTTTTCCCATCTGGGTTACTAACAGGGCAGTTGCAAGGCCCAGATGTGAGGCCAGGTGCGCTGGGCACAGAGCCGGCCGCAGTTAGCTAGTGCCGATGGGAATGTAGTCTCGCAGAGATAGGCTGAAGGATGTGCGGTTAGGCAAGGCTTCCCTGCCGTGTCTCCTTCCGCTCTGGGTACTGATGGGCTCACTAAATAGGCAACCCTCGAGGTCTCATTTTACCAGGACACCTGGGGAAGGTGGGTACCTGCCTAGATGTCACTCCTTGCTTGAAGCCACCAGTGGTCCTGGAGATGACATGGCCCTATGCTTAGTCCCTTTGCTTTTTCCTTTTTTTTTTTTTTTTTGGGTACTGGGGATTGAACTCAGGACCTCATGCTTGCCAGGCAGGCGCTTATGCTGCTGAGCTAAACCCCAGACCCTCCTTTTTGACCACACCAGACTGTTTTGAGATTCCTCACTCCAGGTTCCTGGTCACAGTGTGTTTCTTTTGCCTGGAACACCGTCACACCTCTGTCTGTCTCTCCTTTGCTTTGACATCTTCCCTGGCCAGTGTCCACCGCCTAGTCTAGGTCCTGACACGTGTCTCCAGGACTGTTTGGTTTTTCACTTTATTTTCTTGAGACAGGCTCTCAGTCTAGGCTGGTCCTGAACTCACCATGTAGCCTAGGCTGGCGTCGAATTTGGGGCTATCTTCCTGTCTCAGCCTCCAGAGTGCTGGGATTGCAGGTGTGTGCTACCATGCCTGGCTCTGGAGCATTTATCTCATCTACCAGTATGGGACAGATAGATCTGCTTGCTGACTAATAAAATGGCCTTCCTTGTAGACTGGCCTCCCATTTGGGTGGATTTGCACACTGCTGCTTTAACCAGTTTGGGGCCCCAGCCCTCCCTCCAAGCAGTCCCTGGGGCAAGCCCCCAGTGGTTCCCACCAGGTATTGTGAGGGTAAAATAGGCAGGGGATTGCTCAGGGCCTAGAACAGGGCAGGTGCTCAGAAACAGCAATGTTGGTTTTAGCTGTCATCACCATAAGCAGTATCAGTTAATAGTAAAGAAAGATAGATTTCTTGGAGGAGAAAGCTGCAAAGTTGAAAGAAGCTCCATCCCTTTACTAGGATTCTCAAAAGGCTGCTAGGCTGCCCACATTCCCCCCACCCCAGTGTCTCATCTCTGGGCCACTCTCCCCACATGCTGCCTGCCACCTGTAGGCAGGATGACAGATCCTTGCAGACACGGTTGTTGATTTGTGACAGCCCCACCCATCACAGTCTCTGGTGTGCACCCTCCTCATTCCCCTCCCAGGGCTGTGTACTCGGTGACAGCTGCCTCCAGGACGGCTGGTGGGGACTGGAATCCCGAGGTGTTTCCTAGCCCAGGGTCTCTGTCCTCCCCAGCACAGCTCAGCCTTGCATCTCTGCTCTTCCTCCAGCAGAGTGGAGACGATTTGGCCTCCAAAGAAAGAGTGCTGTTCCTAGGCCAGAACAGTAAGAATAGCACCTCCTCTGCTCCCCTGCACGAGGGCTACACAAGCTAGGGCCAAGCCATTTGCCTTCCAAGAATGTGTGTGTTTTGGGGGTGTGATGCAGAGTACCGCTAACGGCAGAGGCTGATTGTCTCTTCCCAGAAGTCCATATCTAGGGTTTTATAGCTCTAGGAGGTAACCAGAAGTGTGTATTAAAGCTTATTGTGCTTTTCATCACCACACATCTTGATACTGAGAAATGAGATGCAAAAACAAGTACCAACAGGGATCAATTATAAGAGGGACTAATTATAATAGATGGCACTTTCATTCGCACAGCAGCCTTAACAATCACATGTAAAACAGTTCAAGACAAAGGAAATGTGTTAAATAAAAAGGATATAAATCCAGTATGCCAGTGGGTGGGTTTTAGCTTACTCTTTATCTCTCTTGGTATACATAATGTGGTTTTTTTTTTTGTCTTTTTCCTTTTTATTGGTACCGGGGATTGAACTCACAACTGCCTGCTTCCAAGGCAGGCGCTTATGCCACTGAGCTAAATCCCCAGCCCCTATTTAATGTGTTTTAATGAG